TGCCTTGATTTAGTTCAGCCCAGAGGTTGTTTCAGGGTTCGATCTGCATGTGAGTTAGTCGTACCCTGACTTTGATCAACCCAAAGGTTGTTTCATACCTTGATTTAGTTCAACCAAGAGGTTGTTTCAGGGTATAGATATCATTCCAAAATAGGCATTACTCTAAACCACCTTATAGACTGAACGTTAACTGGACTACCATAGATCACTTACCCCAAACGCGCTAACTGTCGTCATACCATCGTCCGCACTAACAAAAGAACTTAATGGTTTCTCTGCAAGGTTCTCATCTACTGCAGGTTCAGCGTCAGGTTTATCTGTGATTAAAATACATGTTTACTCTTCTGTGTCCAGAGCGTTTCCCTCATAATTTGACTTGGTTTGATTAAACACATGAGAATTCCTTTTTTTGTCTAGCATTTCAAATATTAAGAGGAAATTTTTTTCAATAATGAGCAATAATGGCAAAAAGCTCCAAAAACTAGACCTTCGTATGAATTTTAATCCCAATTTTCGTTTTGGGTTAACACTTTGATTCCACTTTCATCGGTCATCTCCACTTCCAAACAAGTTAAACTTTCTGAATAACGATATTTTAGCCTTGTACAACAGCGTTTCTTCAAGAAAATAGTTTTTGGCGCTCACCACTTGAATACGAAAAGAATTCTCTCTTAACCAATAAATTGTTGATTAGTTTTAAATTTTTCCCATTTTTTATATATTTTCATTTTTCTTCTATTTTTTATTCATTTTCTTACCTTTTAATTTCGATTTCTTATTAACCACAGACAAGATAGTCCCCAGTTTAGGTTGTTTTGCTTGTTGAATCTCACACGACTCCTTGCTATTACACTGTACCAAGTAACACGCACTAGTGACCATGAACGCCACATCACAGTTCTTACTGTCACAGCAGTGGTTGATACAATCGTCTATTCTGTTCACTTTATCGAGTTTATAGAATTTCCCTGCCTTTGCTCCCTTAATTAAAGTTACATTGTAATCCACAGCACTTCTACTGCACAGCAAGGCGTCCTGGTTTTTGAGGTCAAGTTTGGCGGCTGTCAAAAGAAAGAATATTGATTGGTTAGGATTGAGAACGAGACTCGATGGAAAAGACGGTGATTGGATGGTTTGAAAATGAAACTAAATGGAAAGGATTTTGATTGGCCAGCTTGAAAACGAGGCTCAATGGAAAGGTGTCGATTGGTTAGGCTCAATGGAAAGAAGCTAGATCGAAGTATTTGGAATTCTGAAGATTTCGCAATCTCTTTCAAGGTGAGTAAATTCTAAATATTATACAAATTCTCTAAAGGTTAGACAAAATACATCTATTTAGCTTGATCTCTGCCTGAAATTATGTCGAAATGGAAAAAAAAGTATTTACAGTGAGTCATAAATCGGCGAATAGTGGAGGAACGTGGTAACTGAATCTCCTCTCTCGCTCGCCCCTTAACCTCCGCCCTTCCCCACTCCTCACCCCTACCCCTCGTTCCTCTTCCCTTTCCCCGCTGTGTTCCTCTCCCTCGCCGTATTCGTCTGTCAGCATTATCCTTAGGTACCGCATAAAGCAGCTTGTAATATGCTTGTGTTGTCAAGTTAAGTTTATTGACATACCTGTCACACAAGCCAGTAAGAATACTCCAAAGTATTGAATCATAACAAAGTAGTCCATTGTACTCTTAACTTCCATGTCAAAATAAAAGAAAAACAGTTAATTTGTACATGATTTTTCACCCGAAAATAACGATAAACGGTAATTGCAATAAATCGAAATATTTCTTATATTAAAAAAAAAAAAAAAGAGTCGATTCCTATTATTAAATATCATTTCGAAGAAGCAAAAATCTGATATCTTTTCCTGACAATTTATTAAGGTATTTTGCTCATTTCTGGATATATTTATTACGAAACTATATCTAAAATACCAGCAAAAGTTAGAAACGTACAAAAGAGTGGAATTTGACCTCATACTACGAGTCTGTTGAAGCATATCAGGAATAAACAATGTCCCGTCTAATTTTACCCGTAGTATTTAGTTCTTGGGGTGTTTTATTTACAGTTTTCAGTCTCTGTCTTAAATAAAGCTATTCATTTAGACTAAAAACAAATATGACTTTTGTACGGATTTAGCGTTTAACTCCGATGTTACCTTAGTTTTTTCTCAAGATAAATATAAAAAAATATGGCACAGAGTCTTAGAAATCACAGATATTTTTAGCAAAATGATTTTTACTTAATTCTGTTATCAAAATTTCTGAAGTAATTCGCTCAATAGAAATTGTCTGATTAATATCATTGGAAATAAATACCTTGAAGATTGAAGTCGACTTAAGGTAGTTTGGAAGTCGAGGAGGGAAGATTTGTTTTACCAAATCTTTTGCGATAGGATCCTCAGTCAAAATTCAGGCTTGGATGAAGTCACTACATTGGCGAACACGGAGTATTTTCAGTGTTGATCGCCCGCGCATGCGCATCAGTGATTGACAGTTTAGTTCGGGTCACCTGCTGTTGATATCAACCTGCAGAACGCATTTGGTCAGCAGTGAAAATGGAAAGGCCCGTTGAGTCGGATTTAAGTAAATCTTCACTTCATATCATAGTGAAAATGTCTTCAATCTATCTCTGTCCTTGGAACTTTCAGATTTTACCGATCACAGTAACATCCTCTGGGCTGATCAAAGTCAGGGCACAGCTAAATCACAAATCGATCTATGAAGCAACTTCTAAGACTGATCCAAGTCAGGGAACGACAAAATTAGAAATATCGGACGAGTACATAGACAAAAACTGCCATTAATTTAAACAACACAAAACAAAGGAAGCACATTTTATTTTACTCGTGATATTATAACATCTGTTGTGAAATTGTCTTTGATTCATTAGTTGATAATGTGAGGGTGTTCGTAATGAACGACTTGTAAGTTCACTCTGACTAGAGTACATCTTGTAGATTTTCAGTTATTTAATGATTTATTTATTTACCGATTAGATGAATGTATGACAGGCTTATTCATTCATTCAGGCAGTCGGTCGGTCGGTCGGTCAATCATTCGATCGGTCGGTCAATCAGTCATTCAGTCTGCCTCTTGGTCGGTCAATCAGTCATTCTGGGTCGGTCAGACAGTCAGTCGGGAGTTCGGACGGTCGTCCATGTCATGTAACTAAATGTAATTGATGCGACTAAGGACATGTCACAGCTTGAATAATGCTGAGGTTAATATGCGGGAAAAATTTAGCCTGAATAGTTGCATCAAAAACCCCTAAGCTTCTAAAGAAGCAGATCTGTGATATTTGTGCAGGTGACAAGGTTTGTGGACAGTTGGTCGTAAAAAACTTTACTTGAGCGATGTTAAGTGCCATCTTGTTCTCTATCACCTTGTTGTCGTAGCCTTGGCCCCTAAGCCTGAAAAACACGAAAACCGGTTTCAGAATAATTTTTTTAAATGCTCTTGAGTCTTTAAACTTCATTATGTTGCCTAAACGTGTTGCATGCTGGTCTAGCTTGAGTACTTTTTCCTCATGCTGAAGAAGGTGTCGAATGAACGTGATGCATGCTGGTCTTGCTTGAGTATATTTTACTACTCGCACTGTAGACGGTGTCATTTTTACTCAAGCTAGTCCAGCATGTATTACCTGTTGTCTAATAGAGAAAAGGCTAGTGTTTGACGTCGTTTTTTCTGAGATAGTCTGCTGTATTCTGGTCTAGTTTGGGTACCTTAGCGCTTGTACCCAAGGCAGACCATGATGCACCTTTTGAAGGCTATTTTAGTGCCCACACTCCCGTAGTTTCAAAAAAAACACAGGAACCCCAAAGTATTTTAGACTGACCACAGGAATCCCATTTACTCACCAACAGGCATGTTCCTTCTTATCCGAATTATTCAAAATACAATCCTTTTGGTACTTTTCCTTCGTTGCCCTCGCAGCAATCATATCCTCCATCTCTTGCCACGTGACAGCATCTGGTATCCCAACAGATGTCACACAGTTGACACCACTGACTAGAAAACTCGTTTTCCCACTTTCATAAATAGCCTGTAGCGACTTGTGTCCCTGTTTGCATTGTTCAGAGGCGTAATATAAGAACTTGGTTCTTGCTGCACTGCAGGCTAGAAGAGTTTTCACAGTCATGAGTCCTTCAATTAGACCGGCCTGAAGGTTATGGGTCGCGTCGTAATCATCAATTGAAGTGTTGATCTGTGATATGAAATTCCCGATTTTTGTATTGGCCTTTTTAAGATTTTCTGTTTGAGGTCTGGATGAGTTAACCATGTTTTTCAACTTGTCCAGGCTTTTGATAAGGTTTGCATCAGTTAAGTTTCCTTCCACGTACTCCCAACCCTGAAAAAGAAGAGTTTTGCCGATTGTTTAGTCCTTCCTTAGTGGACTCTGCATCACATGTAAGTAGAGCTTGGTAGGTCTCTCACTCGATCCGCAAAACCCAACTAAACACGCCGAATTCTAATTCGACCTGTGAGTTAGCTAGCCATTCCCTGACCCTTACCAGCCCAGAGGTTGTTTCAGGTTATTGATAAAATTTGCACGGGCTAGTCCAGTGTTACTGCACCTTTCAGTCGATGAAAAGAATGTTGCTTCAGACATTGACTTGTCAAAGATATCTTCGGTCACGTGTACTATAAAATCATTATCGTAATAAGTCACGTGACTAAACAAATTACCACTTTAGAGTACCTTGTTTTTAAGTAAGTTGTAGTATTCTATGGCATTTTTCTTTATCTTATCCATCTCCTGGTCAGCGACCCGCCATGTATCCCTTAACTCTCTGGTTTTGTCTCTCTTTTCCTTGCATGCGAGGACCGACTGCACAGCACGCCATATATCAAAACCTGCCAAGAAAACATAATTTATAGATTTAAAAAGGATTTTCGATATGATTTGTGTTTTAAGATCACGTGTCGTCATTGGTCAAGTGACACCACTGATCATGTGACATCACTAATCTCATTTATCACGTAACATTTATCACGTAATATTTATTCACTTTTATACTTAATATTTATATTTATGGGCAAATAGTAATATACTGGGGTWGGGTCAGGGTTAGGGTTGTTTTTGGGATAATATTAAATCTACTAGATATATTTTATAAATATATATTATTAGCTTGCTTTTACATTGTATTTTATATCTTTAGGAAGGCACTTTGTAAACCAGTCTATGACTGAAAGTTTAAACCTTCGTTAAATAAAGCTTTTATTATTATTATTATTATTATTATTATTATTATTATTATTATAACAACCTTGTCGCGTGACAGCCCTGGTCACGTGATACCTCTGATCACATGACATCACCGGTAACAAAGTAAAGATTGGATGCGACCAAATTTGATAGTCATTTTTAGCCGAAAAGAAGATGGAAAAAAATTCAATTCTTACTCCCTTCTAATCATATTCTTAAAGTGCTACTGTGACGGAAAATCGCTCAAACTTGGATTCAGCTGAAACTTCCTAAGAATACTCTTTAAAGGTCCAATAATCACAGTATGAAGTGTTTTCTCGATATTCAGKACGAAAGTATGATATTTTTACGATTATTTTTTTGGAGTCTGTGACGTCATGCACTCAAAATCAAACATTGCTACATATAGTAGCACTTTAATAAACTATTTCACGTGGTCTTAAATGAAAGCTGGAAAATGATTACGCCCAAGGCCTGAATAGATCTCTGCCACTACAGCTGATCTGAGAATCAAGAAAACGTGCAAAACTGTGGTGTCACTTTTCCTCTTCAAATTTTGGATTTCCAGGCCTCCAAATGAAAAAAAAACGTTAATGGGTGCTTGATAACAATGACACAATTAATATTTATTATTTTTATTTCAATGACGGGCATGTTTTTAATTTTCGCTGGTCAATTTTTGCAAGCTTCACGACACCTCAGTTTTGCAATGACGTCATTTCTACGTCACTATTTCAGATCAGTTGGCTGTAGTTATGACTTACCTATTGATAGAAATGAGCTCGCCACGTAGTAGGCATTATAAAAGAAAGTATATTTCACCGCAAATTTACTGTTGAATTTAGCAACCGCTGTTTCCTTGATGAACTTGTTCAGGCCAACGTCATTCAGTCCCATGGTCCTCGCGGCTTTTGTGTGACGAGCGTTTACTAATAACCGGTACGAGTTCCCAGTACCCAACTGGTTAATCATCTGACAAGAATAACGATATCAGTATACTATGTGCATTTGATCTTACGTTAAGGTGACGTCATAGTCGTCATATGCATGTTGGTCTTTGGTTTCTTTTGCTATGTCAACCAACATGGCGGTCATGTCTTTTGTCCTCGTGCATGTGACGTCATAGCCACCATGTTGGTTGACTTGAACAAAAGATTTGGTCTTGGTTTATTTTGTTATCTCCACCAAGATGGCGGCCATGTCTTATATAAGCCTTTTCATAGTTTAAGAATCGATTCCACTGCGCATGCGATTTTATTCCGAATTTCTCACCTTCTTTTGTTTGATTAAGAACAAAAGAAGGTTTAGACAAAAGAAGGTGAGAAATTCGGGATAAAATCGCATGCGCAGTGGAGTCGATTCTTAAACTATGAAAAGGCTTATTCTAGTGGATGTGACGTCACAGCCGCCTTTTTGGTCGATTTGAATAAAATCATACTAGGAGACTCCTAACCTTATTAAGTGTATTAACTTTGTAATAATACATAGCCACGGTATAAACAGCACTCAAGGTATTGCTTATAAAACCAGACATGCCTCCCAGGACGGTACTTGCACTGTCCAGGTATGATTTATACTGCAGATCGATTTGTTCATACGACCAGCCTTGAACAGTTCTGTTGCCATTCTTTAGTTGTTCCTAGAAAACAGAAAAAAATTTCATCTGTAGATTTAGAACGAAAGTCGTGTTGTAAGCTGTGAATATTGCGCTACACATATTAGGGAAACTGGCAGGAAAAATGACTGAGTCCAAGTACTGCGCATGTTCGAGAAATTGGCGGGAAAATGGCTGTCATGTGTACTTCGCACGTTCAGGAAATTAGCGAGAAAATGGTTTAATGATTTATTTGTCTTACTAAAACTTTGTGCGTCTTTATGACTAAAAATTAATAGTGAGTAATAATATCATAATAATATTAATGAAATTTATAATTAATATATAGCTTTTTAAAGTAGAGTACTGACCTCAATCTCTGCCCATTTGGTATTGAATTTCTTGACAGTTTCTGGCGTAAGGCTTTGTATAATGTCTTCTTGGTAGCGCCCAATAGCGAGCAGGTCGATCCACATCTCGTTTATCCGGTAATTAGCCTGGATTACATCTTCTTTCAGATTCTTTGCTTTAGAAATAAGAAAACATGTCATCGTCGAATATTCTCGTTCCCAGACTGGAGATTGCGTCCTTTTGGTCTCGGCCAAGGAAAGGGCTCTCAGTGTTTAGATGACGTTTCAAAAATTGTCTTTTGATTGGCTAATATAACAATAAAAACCCGGAAAAAAGATACATCAGGAAAGAAGGGGGGAAAATTCTTCCGCTTCTTCAATTTACCAAGACTTCATCGGTTACGCGTGGTTTATTAAGTGCAGAAAAAAAAAGAAATCTAAATTATCAGTGTCTTCTTATTGGCTAAAACAGCAAAGTAAAGCTTCCAAAATAATWAAAAAATGGAACCAGAAAAATGGTTCTCGGTGGCGGACGTCAAACGAGAACGCGGGACTAAAAAACAGGATGGTTTTAAAGATAGACTCTATTACCGGCTCTTACCTCTTAGAAAAAGTTTATCTACTTCATTGGTTTTGTTATCGAGAGTCTTTCTGAACGCCTCAATTTCCCTCGCGTACTTGCAGGCATCAGGAAACGTACCGCAACAGCCTTTGACTTTGTTGTAGATCTCAAACCCAACTCCTGCTGCTGAGACCCCTAATGTAACGGCCAGTAGGACAAAACCCCATGCCCCTGGAACAGAATACAGTTATTGGATTAATAGGATTATGTAGAGAATCCCAGTTTAAACCCCGAAACACCCTCTAGGCTGACCTAAGTCAGGGCATGGCTAGCTCACAGATTGAATCCTAAAACAACCTCTGGCTGATCTAAGTCAGGGCATGGCTAACTCGCAGATCGAATCCTGAAACAACCTCTGGCTGAACTAAGTCAGGGCATGGCTAACTCGCAGATTGAACCCTAAAACAACCTCTTGGCTGATCTAAGTCAGGTCACTGCAGCTAACTCACAGATTTAATGGGAACTCTTTGAGGTTTTGAGTAAAGAGAAAAGCCCTTTTGAGTAAAGGGGAAAGACCCCTGATAAAGCTCTCGAATCAATCAGTCCACGATTCAAACCCCGTGCAACACCCTGTGTGCAGCCAGCCTTGATTCCCCAAAAATTGAAATTGATTATGCAACCCATCCTTACTTACGTTTTTGACGGCTTCGTTCTTCAAGCGAATTTTTTCTGATTTCTGAAATTGAAAAATAAGCAAGAAATAAAAACGGGAAAGGGATTTTTAGGGAACATTTAATTTTTACTTATTAACATTTTATTATTTCTATATTTTCTTCTTTGATTTCGTATCCTTAAAATGATGGTGATGATGATGATGGTGGTGATGATGTTAATGACTGATGGTGATGGTGATAATGTTGATGGCTGATGGCTGATGGTGATGATGATCATGGTAATGATGGTGATGACTCAGTGATGGTGATGGTGATAATGTTAATGACTGATGATGATCATGGGATGATGATGGTGATGGTGATGATGATAATGACTGATGATGATCATGGGATGATGATGGCTGATGGTGATGATGATCATGGTAATGATGGTGATGACTCAGTGATGGTGATGATGATAATGTTAATGTTAATGACTGATGATGATCATGGGATGATGATGGTGATGGTGATGATGATAATGACTGATGATGATCATGGGATGATGATGGTGATGGTGATAATGTTAATGACTGATGATGATCATGGGATGATGATGGTGATGGTGATAATG